GCTTTTACACCATCCACTTCCTCAGCCCCGTCCCTGGGATCCTTGCCAGGATGCTGGTAACGTTTTAAATGGAGCAGGCAGAGCTGCCCAGCAGTGTGGCAGCTGCTTCTGAGCAGGGATGTTTCACTGGAGGGGGGCTTCTTCTAATGGCAGCGATTTAACACTCCACAAACTGAATTTCTGGAACACTTGGCTGAGCAGGATCGATGCACTTTCCTGGTTAACCACTGCATCCACACCCTCTAATTCCTGCTTGAATTCACCCCACGTATTTGCAGCAGCAGCGCCCGAGGACCAGAACGTCTCCCTGCACTGAGGTTCACACTCGCTATGCCCCAGTTTGACATAGGAACATCACTCCTGCACTTCTGAGGACCAGGAGGGGCTCAGGTTAGAAGTGCTGTGCCACACACCTGAGGATGCTGCAGAGAACATTGATACCCTGGCAGTGCTTCTGGGGGGTCCAAACTGAGTTTGCAGCATCACCCAGGTCAGCCACGCACACAGAGTGCTCCAGGCTCTGGCTGATTTCTGTGGAAGATCAGCCTGTGAAAGTCTGTTACACCAGGAGGCTTGGAAAATCTAAGCTGCTGAATACAATGAAGAAGGAAACACCTCTTGACAGACTATGTCCCTAAGAGAATTAGGAACACAATGTACCCAACAGGACTCTGGATTTGGAGCTGCTCAGTGGATGCTCAGACAGCAGACAGGAGCAGTTAAATCTGGCCTTGAGCAGCTGCAGAGTATCAGTCGATCCATAGCATTTGGGAAAAAAAGAAATTTCTATTTATTCTTGTCCTTAGGAAAGAGTAAGTGAGGAGGAAATGGATTTTAAGTAAGCTCAGAGAAGTCCATGCTAATACTAATTCAGGATTTTGAAGTGCTTTACCAACAGCAAGTGAAACACACAGATCTCTGACAGGAGAAATGAAGCAGGAAAATGCAAAGCAGCTTTGTCCAAGCTTATGCAACAGATGAGAAGCACAAACAACACACAGATCTCCAGGCTCCATCTCTGTGTCCTACCATTCTTTCATTTTAAAAACCTAAATCCATTTTGCACTCCAGCAAGGTTTTCCACACAGATTTAAGTGTTAATCCTGGGCTGCTTAGACTTTCTTTTTTCCTGATGTGGTATCTCACCCATTATCTCCTTCTCTGTACACATACAATATAAAAGGAATTAGTATTTCAGAGCCAAGAAAACAGGAAAAAAGAAGAAAGTCCTAAATTTTTATCTAAAGCCAAATTTCTTTTCATATGGGCACACTGAATACAGATTTGAAGCAGCACTCCATCCTACGAAGAGAGAAAACACTGCTTGGAAACTAAGAAAATTGAAATTACTAAGATGCTACTAAATATCTATATTTATGATGCTTCTATTTCCCGCAATAATATAATGTAAAATGCATTTTATGTATTATCTGTTCAGATGCAGATACACTTCACTGCAGGCAGAGATGAGGCAATTATCCAAAGCACTGACAAACCATCCTTTAGCCCCATGAAGTGCAGTAACACAGATCACTCCAGCACACAGCTCGTGTGGCACAAGGACTGCTCCCACAAAAGACACATAAAAGGTTCTCAGTGTCCATGCAGGTGCCAGAGTTTTCTCTGTGGAGCCACCTCACCACAGGAACAAGGCACAAAAAGAAAATCTAAGAACTCAGCAAGCTCCTCTTTTTTTGCAGAGAGCACATTAAACTTACAGGTGCTTTCACATCTGACATAAATTAAAAGCTCTCTTTTAAAACCAACTTGTGTTCTTATGTTTCTAAGCCAGCTAGAGGACAGCATTGTCAAATGGAGAGTTTCTCTTTGAATACCCACTGTGTGAATGGCTACTCCCCTCACTGACCTCTTCAGGGTTTGTCTCCTTTCATGCCATCCATGCCCATGGACCTTCCCAGAAGGGACACCTGATGAGGAAAATGGCTTTCTTTACCTTTGCTGTCTGTAATTTTCTTTTCAAACCCTCCTTCTCATTCAGAGTAAAGGGGAATATGCTCTAAGATACCTACTTGCTCAAAGATGAGGCAGGAGTGAGCTCCTCCTGGGGTCAGATATTGGGCTTTTACTGATGAAGAGCTAAAATATTAATAGTTATTGTTGTGCCTGAGATCTGAAGCAGCCCCAGTGCCCTCACTTCACAGGTGTAAGTGACAAACACGAATGACAAAGCCACTCTGTGGAAGGTACATGAGCTTGCAGAATGCTTCCTCAGCCAGTAAAGAGCTTCTGATCATCTTTTATGACCAGCCTCACACAACCAACCAACCAACCATTTGAACAGGGCTGTGACAGAAGATACTTCTACCAACCCTGAATATGTCTGTGTGCATAGTACAACTTTTTTTTTTTCTCTAAGACATGAACTGGAATCAATACAGTGCCATGACACAGCGCACTCCTGCCAAGATCCTACAGGGCAGACGAAATTTTGGAGTCCATCTTTTAAATGCAGGGGTTGTTCTCCATTGTGACTGTAACAAAAGTTATTTTGGATCATTTTAAATGACATCATTGAAAAAATGAAGGTTTATGCCCGGCAGTAAAAGCACCTGATGAAAATGCACAGTTAAAATGGAATTATCTCTGTTTGGCAGCTAAGGCCTGTAGGAATACAAAGCTCCCTTTTCCAAAACAAATGTAAGAGATTTAATCTAATTTTATACATTAATCTGCTCCAAACCTTGGGGAAGCTACAAAGCTTTGCTTCCTTTTCTGAGGCAGCAAAGAGAACCAAGAACCCCAGATCACAAAGCCTGATTATTTTCAGGAAACGTTTATGTGAATAACACCAGAACTTACTGCTGTCCTCAGCATGAAACCTAAAGGACGATTCAAGCATCATAAAAGGCTTGGCACTGAAAGGACTTTAAAGACCATCTTCCTCCAACCCCCTCCCATGGGCAGGGAGACTTTCCACTATCCCAGGTTTCTCCAAGCCCCGTCCAGCCTGGCCTTGGACGTTTCCAGGGATGGAGCAGACACAGCTTCTCTGGGCAGCCATAGAGGTTGCAGCCATATCTGATGGTCAACTTGGAAAACACCACGGAAGGAGACCAGCAGTAATTCACAGAGATACACACTTTAGGTCAAGGGATACCATCTGTCACCTGCTGGTTATTTCCCTGAACTCCAGATGTTCAGAGTTTTGACCAAAACCATATCTCCTTTTTCTTTAGACATGTGATACTCCAGATGAGCTACTTAATACAGAGAATTCCTCATGTACTCTTGGCTGAACGACCTCCTTGCCTGCCCCCAGTAAGCAATAACCAATTTAAACAGCCTTTTTTCAAGGTGTCAGAAAGCCACAAGGGGTTACATAATGCATGACTACCCTGCAGAGACTGACAGACCAGGTATCACGAATTAACCACCCTCACATACCTGACAATTTATTAAATCAACCTCTACCCCAAGGACTGCACCACCACCACCCTCAGGTGCAAATGGAGGAGGAAATTAAGGAAGTCTTGGGTAATTTCATTGGTATTTTTATAGGAATTTTGAGACAGACCTTTTTTAAAATGAAAAGTTCCACCACACCACGACAAGTCTCTTATTCTGTATCTGGCTCAGCGTTTCTCAATGCAATTTAATACCTCTAATAGAAAACTCACTGTAAATTAGCAAGAAATGAACAGGGAACACTGGACAACTGCAGTTCACCAGAACAAATGTTGGCAACTTCATTATCACTTCCAGCACTGACTACAAGTATTGCAGGGAAAAAGCTGACCTCGTTAAGGACTTTTCCATTTCTATCTATGATCTCTCAGGGAATGTGCTAAGGAAACGATTGTCCTACTGAATCATTTCAAGAATTTAACAGCCAAGATGATTTATTACCATAAAATAGGTCTTGGAAACAAAGATATTTGAGGAGACTCAATAGCTATTAAATCATTGTGGAAAACATGATGCTGAAGGAATTGCAGATGCCTGACACATGTTCTGTCGCTTTTTTTTCCCTTTTTTCCAAATATTAAGTGTCTATAAAAAGCAACTCTGCAGAATTACTTAAAAACTTTTCTGACAGAAAAAAATTAAAAAATAAAGATATAGCTATAAATTAAAATGGCATCCATAAAAATACAAAACAGTTTTAATTAAAACACCCCACAAAGGCTGCTGGAAAAACTGGAGTCACTAATAATTTCAAAACCTATGCATTAAAAATACACTTCTCGCTTAGTAAACAAGCTGGGGCGCATTTTGCAGAGTTATAGATATTTCAGAGTTGAGTCAATACATAGAAAACCTCACATCATCTTATAATGAGTCCACTTGGTAGCTGGTGTGAAACCAGATTCAGTAAAAGCACCTTGGGTTTTGTTATTACAACTGCAGGGTAGATGTTGTTGCCACTCAGAACACGCTCTGTTCAAGAGAGATGGAAGCAGCTCTCTTTAAAATGTGCTACTGAATACTACAAGTGAATCAGAAAGATGGTCTGTAAGGCTTGATATGCAAAATACCACTGAAGAAAACGCTGCTCTCTTGACCAAAATGGAAACTCTTGTACTAAACCTCCCTCTAGACCAGGCTGCTCCAATCAAACCATCAACTCTTACAGTACCCAAGTAAATGTTTTAAATGTACTCCAAAATACTCAGCCAAAATACAGCAGCCTCAACGTAAGGTCCAAGCTTTTACACCAGCTGATATTACAGACAACACTGACAAATTTTGGAGGCCAAAATCCCTTTCCAGCCCTTCTTGCCCTCAAACCTCTCCTCTTCACAACCCTGGATCACCACAGCTACAACAGTAATTAAGACACAAACCCAGCCTTGATCTCCTCTGTGCCTTGACACAGTGATGACAAAGGCAGAGAAAAGATCCACCTTGTGTCCCTCAAGTTGAGCCAGGTGGCTCAAAACCAGTTCTACAAACTGCACTCACAAACCAGGAAATGAGGAAAACTAATGGTCTTTATGATTAAATGGATGTCTTACAGAAAAGCTGACCAAGAGACTTACAAAACAGGAAAAGGAGCATTCCTCTTTGACTTAAATTTTGCGTCGTCCTGGTTCGCTTGTGCGAATCAGCCACCGTTTCTTTTTCTGCAACACAACAAAGAAAACAAATTCTGTTAAAAAAAAAAAAGTATTTGCTTGAACTGACGTTTCTCATTACATCGTTAAGTAATGCTTCAAGCTTACTGCTTGCTTTTAGTCAACACTGGAAAATATTGCCATCCTTCTTGACTGTTTCTCTGATTTTGATTGCCAGAGTATTCCTGAAACTGCTCTATCAAGATGAACCTTGGAGACTGCTTGGTGATTACAGCATTAACACTGACAGACTAGAAATAAATTCCAAAACCTACTGCAGAGTTGACCAAAGAAATTCCTTGTAGCCACAGATGAAGTGAATAAACATTTTTTAAGAATTATTTTATTGCTCAAAGATATCTTTGTGGTGTCTTCTTAGATCTGTGAGGGTTCCTTGTTGGCCTCCAGCACCTAATTCAGAGAGGTGATGACTTGCTCTTGGTTTGGGGTCATACCTGGTACCCCTGTGTTCCTGGCACCTTAAGACACTTCAGTGGGAGCTGAATATTGGAAGGGTCGTTCCTTATGTCCTGTTCTGTGCTTTGGATTCAAATCTACAGAAATGGAAAAATTATATCCATAATACCTTACTGGGAATTGAAGCAAAAGAAGAGCAAGCAACCAGAAAAACAAACAGAAAAATCTAAGTGGAGTTATGAGAGTATTGTCCTGAAAAAGAATGCTCTGATGCTACATTCTCTACTTAACCACACATAATTAGTAAACTTCCAGCAGAAGTAGCAAAAAAGAATTCCTCATTCCCTTACTAGGCTAAGTGGCGACCTGGAAGAACTATTCAAACCTCCATGAAGAAGAACTGGATCACTCCAGAAAATGGAGTAACTAAATAACTGGGGACAGAGTGGAAAATGAAGCCCAGAAGATCTCATCGCTCAAGGTCAGTGCAGTTCTTGTTCTGCTGAAAATGGTAATTTGCAAGGGGAAGAAAAAAAAAAAAAAAGAGATGGAAAGAGAAGGGAGAAGGACACCAGTCAGAAAGAATCCTGACTTTGGCTATGGTTTGCTGCCAGGAAGGGATAACAAAGCAACAAATAAATGCCAGCATGGATTTGTCAAACTACTTCCCTTCCCTTTCCAAGAAGTTACAAAGCCCCAGGATACAGAAATAATTCAGTGATCACCAGGATCACCTGAGCATGGCCACTTTTATGCCATGTCATTCTCCCAAAACAATAAAGGATCATGGATTTGGAGAATAAAGCTTAATTTTTCTCAAGTGATCACCAGGTCTTAGCACATGGCATCCAACCTTCAGCACCAGCAGAACCCCAACACATGCAGCAAGAAGCTGAGTATCTCATTAATTCATCAGACAGCTATGCACAGTAAGTGTTCTCTTAATCCTAAATTCTAAAATCTCAATATGAAATAAAAGCATGTATCATTAGGGGGTATGAAATCATCAACTCATTTATAAGGGGCACAGTTAAACTTGAAGCTATTTAATTTAGCAGAACAATAGAGCTTTACAGAGTGTGTTTTTCACTAATGACCTGGACACTATTTTTGTTATTTCTGCTTCTAAAATGCACAGCCAATATTTGTGGTTAAAAAAAAAAAAAAAAAAAAAAAGTATTTCTTTTTTAAAACGTTGTGCAGGAAAAAAAAAAAACCAATAAAAAAAAATTAAACTCAGAGTACAATCAAATATACAAAGGAAAACCACACAAGTACAGATTTCATCATACTCCTCCAGATTTTAAATAGATCAACATATTTTGGAGATGGGTGTGATTTTATGCGAGCTGTGCCCCTTTAAAATTGGCAACTACATTTAATTCAGTGCTGCCTTATTCCAAGTTCCAAACTCCAGTTGAAAATAGATCTCACAATGGAGTCCTACAGCTGAATATACTCTGGGAGAAAATTAATACTTTAATTTATTCCAAATTCATTTGCATGACAGTATATCATTAGTATATACAAAAAAATATGTATTATACCAACAGAGGAAAAATTCTGTGCAAACAGTGAAAGAAACTCACATCCCACCAGTGAGATGAGCTTGAAACTTGAAGCAACAAAGCTGTTTTACTTCTTGAGAAACAAACACATAAAAAATACCAAAAAGAGCTGCTAATGGTCTAGATTGTCATTTTAAAAAATACCATATGACCTTAAAAAAACCCACAAAGCAAATGTGGTTTCTTGCATGGCAGGTATCTCCTGAAGAGCTGAAAAGAGCCACATGGACCATCAAGTGCAGACTAAAAATAAATTATGTAACCCAACTCACCTACAAAGCAAGTTTTCCTACCTCACTGATGAACCAGTTGAAGAGGAAAGAAAACACACACTCAACTTTGTAACTTCATCAACCTTGTTGTCCTGGAAACAACTCTTCTACAAGAGAAGTATTTAACTGCCAAAACATCTTCTGCTACTACTTTTTTGTTTTTTTTTCTTCCCCTACTTCCCTCTCTGAAGTGCTTTCAATGTTTGATAAGCAGCCAGCAACCAACCTAACCCATCAAATGGCACAGAAATTGGATCTCCTGCTCTTAAAAGGAAATACATCATTCCATTTGAGCATGCAGCACGTAGGGAACACCAGGTTTGCACAAAGGCTATGGAATGGACTGCGTCATTTTGTTGCTGCTGTTGTTGTTAAAATGTCCTATTAACTGAACCTTTCATTTTAGGAAATGGCCTCAAGTTGTGCCAGGGGAGGGTAACGTTAGATATTGGACAGGATTTGTTCACAGGAAGAGTGGTCAAGCACTGGAACAGGCTGCCCAAGGCAGCGGTGGAGGCACTAGCCCTGTAAGTGTTCAAAAAAAAAAAAAAAAGGACATAGCCAGTTGAGGACATCGTGTGGTGGTGAACATGATGGTGCTGGTAAGCTGATGGTTGGATTTAAGTGACCTTGAAGATCTTTTCCAACCCAACTCCATGATTCCATATAAACCAGCAAACCTACAGGGTGAACTCAGCCTTCCTTATTCATGTGCCCAAGTACCTGGCGAGAGAGGCCTTTCTCTCCCACTCTGTGGGAGAGCAACAAGGTCATAAACCACCAAAAAAAAATCTTTTTTAGGTTTTATGGTTACTGTCTGTGTTTAGAAGTGAACAGTACTTTCAAACCCAGGTCTTGGCAATTTCTGTCACATTGCTGGCCACAAAGTCAAAAAACGCTTCCGTATCCCAGTACTGGAAACATTTGTACCCTCCCCTTCTTGGTTTAGAATCCTTTCTTGAAACAGGTCTGTGCTTTTACTAGAAGAGAAAACTTAATTTTAACATCTGTAGGAAATAAAACTTGGGTTTACAAACCAGATTTATCTAGGAAACATCAGGTTTGTTTCAGACCACAACTTTACTCTCCACATCTCTCCATACATTGTTCTTTTTGTTATGCAGCCTGTTTGGGTGACATGAAGCAATTTGGTCTTACCTAAATTGTCCAATCCACTGCAACAAATATACTTACTTAAACACTTGTGAATTCCTAGTTTCTAAACTATCAGTGTTTTAAAAAATTTGGCATCCAAGCTGCTCAGTCAGCGTGCCCACACACACTGCCCACATCTGTTTTTCCAGTAGAATGCCAGAGTCTGCACCGGTCTCAGATGGGAAAAATCACAATTCACTGTTTTCAAATGAAACCTGTTAATTACCAAAATTATTCCCACAGCAACTCCAAAGGGATTTTGGTTCCTTCAGAAGATCCATGATTAAACATAGTTACACTCAGCAGTTTTATTCAGTGGGGTATCTCTTGATTTATTATCTTCACTCTGCTAAGGAGACCTGCATTTTCCCTCAACTTTCTCCAATTTCCAATGTACTCACAAGGTTTTTTTAATGTTCCTTAGCAATGCTGCTTATCCATCTTTCTGTACCTTAGATTTTCACATAAGCCCTACCTAATTGTTACCCAGAGAAGCTGTGGCTGCCACAGCCCTGGAAGTGTTTTCAAGGCCAGGCTAGAAAGGGCTTGGAGCAACCTGGGATAGTGGAAGGTGTCCCTGCCCATGGAACAGGGGTGGATCAAGATGGTCTTTAAGGTCTTTTCCAACCCAAACCATTCTGTGCTTCTAATGTGCTTTTACATTGATTTTAAATTGTATCCTTGTATCTGCTTTTCCAACGACTTATCTTCAATAATCAATGTGACTCACAGCTTTGTTTTCCCTTTTCTCTTGTGATTTTATTCTAGATACTGTAAACCTTCAAGTCTCTGTATATTCCCTGTATTTCTTTTAAGCATGTTCTGGAGAAATTACAGAATCATAAATGGATTGGGTTGGAAGGGACCTCCAAGATTCTGTATTTCTTACCCCTGAAATGGGGAGGGACATTTTCCACTAGACCAGGGCCTTTCCCTAGACCAGGTCATGTTTAGCTGGCAAAATTAGCTGAAATCCCAATTAATCAGGATCTGGAGTTACTACCAATAAACAACTTCCACTAAGAGATCCAAAATCTCAGCCTCACAGTCTTGAGCTGCCTCTGCAAAATGCTACAGTTAGGGATTAAAATTTCTCATCTCCTCCACTACAGACCCAGTTGCTTCAGCAGGATTTCACTGCACAGGCTCAATAAACATTCCATGTGTCACCAAGCAGGCAGTGAACATCCACACAAGTCTGTCTTAGCACGTCAAAGATCCAGGGATTTTCAGCATCCCATCCCTCGTACCATGCACGAGAAAATTCAATGGCAGAGACAGAGAGGAGGAAGTTATTTGGAAACTTGGTACAAACCAGCAAATTTAAGATTATGAAAATTGTGGTGCCTTACAGTAGCAGCGCTGTTACACGCGTTACAAACACTGAATTTTGTCGAACTATTTCCAGTAAATGCATTTTTTTCCCCACCCCAGCACTAGAAATTCCCAGTGCATAGTATAAATTGTTATGTTCTGCAGTTTCTAGCTCAAACGAGGACCAGGTTTTATCAGCCAGCTTTTAGGAGTGTTTAGACCCTCCCTCTCTGCTACAGAAGCACACTGATCTCAAGTTGGAAAAACATATCTTACACTGATT